CAACTCCTGGAAGCTAGGGGATTATAAAGGTTGTTCAAGGTGTATTCTCTTCTCTAGTTCTAGATTTTTCCAAAGGTTTTTTCTCTCTTCTGGTGATGTGTCTGAAAAAGTTTTTAAATTACTTGGTTGTGTTCCTAAGTTGTCAGAAGTACCGTGTTCTTTGACTAGATTTCATGACATCTGACACCCTATCTAGAGCTGAGGTTTTGGGCATGCCACTGCACTTTCAGTGCATTTGTTGCCCTCTTTGCTTCTCAGCCCCTCTCTATCCAGAGTGTCCTGACTGGTTATGAGGAGAGCAGAAGTTTATGTACGTATATGTGTCTCTTGAAAGCTGCCAAGCTTCTACTTGCAACACCTTTTCGGTGGTGTGACTGTACCCATGGTGGGTAAATCCCACAGGTGCAAACACAGGCAAAAGCAAATACACATCTCCCTCTATTCTCTCTCTCTTTTCTTTAATCTTCTTTTTTTTTTTTGTAATGGCTTGCATGTTTTCTCAGTGTGAGGCATGGGTAGAAATTTCTGTGGTTCTCAGGGAGGGTGAGGATTGGGTGACAGGGGAAATGGTGGTTGTAGTCAAGCAGTTGTTTAGGCAGTGCACAGAGGGAAGTCACATAAGTGGTCAAGTCAGGTGCATGGTACCATATATGGCAAACATTTGTGCTGTATTTAATTATTTTATTATTTTTTTCTCAGTGCAAAAGCTGCTCTTTGCATTTCAACTCTGATTTTTTGGACATTTTGTGTAACAGTTTTAAAGCTAGACTGAAAATTTTCGTGTATTTTAAAACCACTGACCAAGTTTCATTCTTTGAGCAGATGCCACGCAGTTTCACAGTATGGTTTTCTTCTCAGATTGAGGGTTAAAGAAAGGGCATTCTGTAAGAAACAGCTGTTCTTTTATATTCATATTAACTAGTTTTATAAATGGAAAAAGAAAGAGGGCATCAGATTCTGGGAGCTCCATTGCACAGTAAGAGACAGAGGGTTGCTTGTTTGGCTTTTTTTTTTTTTCAGAATTGACTAGTAACTTTTGGATGCATCCAGTTATTTCCTGATATTATTGAATCCACTTCACTTTTGAAGGACCTGCTTTTTAGAAAATGAGTAGTCACCTTTTCTTGATATCAGTGCTTTGCAAAGGATCTGAAGCTAATACAAATGAAAGCCTCTGAATTTATCTTGTGGGAAGCATTTTCTTTGAGATAGGATTCTCACCTTACCTTCCCTGTGACCTACTATAGTCCCCAAAGCAGCTAAATTTAGTCCAAATTTCAAGAGAAACATTTACCTTTTCTTTTTTGAGATCTGTTGCTGAGTTGCCTCTTGTAAAATCCCATGTACTCTAGAAAATGTGAGAAGTAAACAGCAGAGGATGTATATTTACTTACTAGATTTAGTGGGAGATTCTGACTAAGAATGTGGTCTCTCACTAATAATGAAACAGTTTTGAAGTTTGAAATACGTATTTTGGTCACAATGCATTATTTAGATGATTGATATTGATCATGTTGGCTTTCAAACCAAAGTGGCCTCAGTTTCCTAACATGCTGCAATCTGTTACAGAAAGATAAGCGAGGTGAATTGGGGAAAAAACCCCTACATTTCCACTCATATTAAAAATATATATATATATATGAACACAAACAGCCTCGATTTGGGCAGGAATTTTTTACCAGCTCAGAGGTGGAAGACTGCCTTTCTTCTTGAAGGCTGTTGGTTTTTAATCCACTTGCTTTCTCATCTCCCATATTTTACATTCTTTTACTTCATTATGAGCTCAAGCCTTAGCTGCCCAGATTCTTGGGGCCAAAGCCCCTCTGTCATTTAGTGAGACTGGACTATTTCAAACCTCCTGTCGCTTGCAGCAAGGCTCCAGCAGCGTACTGAACACCTGCACCTGCAAACCGAGCAGCTGCTTGGGCTGTTATTGAGACCTGGAGTGACTTTGTGCAACTCAAAGTTCCATTTAGCTGTGGAGCAGTTGTTGGTCTTAGCACACCTGCAGCTGAAATTAGGGTTGCAAAAATTCTTTGCCTATTGAAGCAAGCACCAGGTCTGGGTACAATTTTTCTTTGTGTTGAGATGAAATACTTTATTTCTGTAAATTCCTGATTCATTCAAGCGAAAATGGAGATCAAGAGATGTATCTAACAGGATCCTGATTTCTGATCCTGATTATCAAGAAGAAAAGGCACTTCAGCTTTGATTGTGCACACCTCAAGAAAGTGCACCAGCCTCTAGACTGGGGCTGGTACTGGTGGTGTAGTTGTTTTCATTAAAAACCTCAAAAGGTCTTGATTTAATTCTAAGGCAATATAAAAGCATCTCTGAAATAATGAAAAGGTTTGTGGGATGGGCAGATGAATGTTTCCATCCATACTCACTGACAGATTTTCTATTAATGCTTTGCTATTTTTTCATGACAATGAAAGCAGAAGTTAGATTACAAAAAGCCAAACCATACTTATTAGCTGCAGTCATACTGGATTTATTTTAAAATAATAAATGTGGGGGAAAAAAAGCCCAATCCAAATTACTTGCCAAGATCTTTGGCAAGTGTCATATAAGAATTGCACTATTTGCTATTTTACATAGCAAACCCATTTACTGTCACTCAATTCTTTTAACATGGATAAAATAGGCATCCTGTTACATTATTCAAGTCTACCACATTAAATACTTTCAATCACAATAATTTTGGTATCATCCTAAGATAGGTAAATGCCAACAAACAAATAATAAATGTTAACATGGAATAGTAAAAGTTCCTGAGGTAAAGCTGTTCAAGTATAAGTTGTCTTTCCTTTAAGAAAAAAAAAAAGGAAAATAATATTTACCATGTCATGAAAGTGTCATATGACCTGTAGTTCACAAGAAAATTAGTAATTTCACACTAATTCGGGTGAAAGACTGAAAGAAACTGGCAAGTTTTCCTTTGCTGAATTAGTTGCCTCTTATATATTTTAATTCTTTGCTCATGTGGAGCATTTGCTATGGCATTTATACATGATTCTCCTCAAGCCTGACAATATTTATCAAGTTTATTTGTTATTTTCCAGAAACTAAAGCTTTAGGCATGTGATCTTGGTGGAGTACCTCAGGAATTATTCCAATTTGATCTGGTATTTTGAAGTATTAAAAATCAAGAAAGAAACCAGAATTATTTAAACTTTTGTAGATTGGATGTACTCTGAAGTATTGTAGTGCTTTCAGCACAGATTGAGGAAATAATGAACAAGTCTGACTTACTGATTTTTTTCTATAATAAAAATCATATCCTAGTTGAAATGCAAATCTTAGGCTTACTTTTCTACAAAAAATGGGTCTCTTGATATTCACTTGTAAAGGTAGAAAGAAGGGAATGAGAAGAGACAGCAGTTTCTGAAGGTGACTGAAAATAAATTTAAAACTTTATAACTTTAAAATTGGAACTGACACTGGCCTCGTTCTCAAACACTGGCAGGTCTGGAAAGAGTTGATGCCCTTCACGCAGCTGTAAGCCTGAAAAAGGAGTTTGGCAGTTAGCTGGGGGTGAGAGGGAAAATCTGTCATCTGGAGGAAGAAAAACCAAATCTTTTAGAAGAGATAGTGAGGGAGGAAACAAAAACATGCAGTGAAGGGAGGGGAGAGCAAAAAGCTTGTGTGTGTTTCAGTGATACCCCCGTTTTAATATCCTACTGTGTGCCAGAGAGCACTCTGCCACCAGAAATTGCTGGAAGACACCTCTGCCTCCCCTGAGGCTGCAGTGCCAGCTCTCGCCCTGCTCTGCGAGCCAGTGGTCCAGTGTGGATGGACCTGGCTGGGGAGCTGGGCAAGATGTGCAGGTTTCTAGGTTTGCGTTGCCCTTGTGTCAGTTCTGCTCTTGTTTCTCTGCAGACATTAAACAGCTCAACTGTTCAACGAGGTTCAATGCAAAATGCAAATACCAGGATTTATTTGTAACATTCGAAAGAGTTATTCCCATTTACAGACGTTTAGAAAAAAAAAAAGAGGTGCGAAAAGCCATAGTGAATGTGCACATGCTGCAGTAACATCAGAGGGATGCCACTTCCATTGTCCAGTCTCCAGGGCTTTTTTCTCTGCTGTGCAGACAGTTTTTTCATGAGCTGTGTTAGCTGACATAGTTGTCTTCCCTTTGAAGCCTTTTAGCAGGTTTGCATCTGTGTAACCTCTCAGTCTAGAACTCACTGTGTCCTTTTCCTCAGTAGAAGGCAGTGACTCTTTAGTTCTGACCCAAGCAACCAGAAATCATGTCAAGTCCTCAGAAAAGTCTTAAAAAGCACAAGTATGCTTTTGTTGGTCTTCTTTTCTTTAAGAGCAAAGTTAAATGCAAGGTTTTGCTTGTCTCCTGGTTTCTCTGCCTTCAAGTTCTGATTTTTTCTGAAATCCGAGGGGTTAAACACTTTAATTATTACAATTATAACTAAAGATTTAATGCTGTAATAAGAAGCTGAGATTTAAAATGCACAAGACCCGAGTAACGAGAACTGGTAACACACAAATTCATTAAAATATTGGATTTTTGAGTTCAAAACACCTCCAAAAACCCAGAATTGATCAGGTTGGTTTGAGAACATGGCACATTATTTGTGGGCAAGCTAGGAACCAAAAAGAAACGCCCGGGTTGCTTTTCTTTACAGAATAAAAACCTATATATGCATAAGTTCAAAGCTTGTCTCGGAGAGGCCTTGACTTAATCACACGGTTCTTCTCTGTAGTTTGTAGCACTTGTACTGGGGTTCCAGCATAAGCATTTGTAGCTGTTTCTTGGTACGAAGGTTTCACACTCACACCATGCATTGTCACAGCAATCCTTGTGAAGTAATTCTGTGGTTAAGGTTTCCATCTACCTGCATTTAAAAGGAAGCAACATCCCTCCCACCTGAAGCACTGGTTGCATTACACTTGCACCTGTCTCTGTTGTTTGTTTCTCCTTTTCTTTTCCTGCCGTCTTTGGGGGAAGAAGTTCCTTCCTCCACAGTCCCAGCTCGCAGTCAGAGGGACACAGAGCGCTTCCTCTTCCTCGTGGAATACTCCCCTGCCACAAAATTGGATAAGGAATGGCTCAGGTGGGTGTCCAGGGTATCGGAGCTGTTGCTGCTCATTTTCACCTGTGGGCACAGGCACTGGAGCATGGCTCTGCGGATGTAGTTGTCAAAGCAAAAGTAAATGAAAGGGTTGGCACAGCTATTGGCAAAAGCAAAAGGGCTGCTCACCTTCATGCCCAGTTGGGCAACCGTGCCAGAAAAGCAGCTGGGCTGCTTCAGGAGCCGCAAAAGGATGGCCATAAGCTTGAAAAGATTGTAAGGAACCCAGGAGACAACAAAAGCTGCCACTACAATGAAGACGATCTTGATGGATTTTCTCAGCTTCTTATCATGTTTCCCAGCCTTCTGATAGTGCACACAGAGTCTCTTGGTGATGGAACAATAAAAGGTTAAGATACTCAACAGTGGGACAAAGAAGGCCAGGATTAAAAGCATCAGTGACATGATCTGTTTGACTTCTGTCACGGCTTTGTCTGTGCAGTAAGTCTTTCCATATTGAGTCTTCAGTTCTCTGGACAAAAGGGTTGGAATCCCTAAGCAACAGGATAATACCCAGACAGAGATGCAGAGTCCCCCAAAATAGGATCTTGTCCTGATCCGTCGTGCGACACAGGGGTGCATGATAGCGAGGTACCGGTCAGCACTCATGCAGGTGAGTAGCAAGATGCTGCAGTACATGTTGACTGAGATGACATAGGAACTAGCTTTGCACAGGAAAGATCCTACCCTCCAGCTCTCATCTGACACCTCCATGTCCACCCAGAAAGGCAGTGTGATGAGGAAGATGAAGTCAGACGTAGCGAGGTTGATGATAAAGATGTCAATCAGCCTCTGGACCCGCCGCTTGAAGATCAAGGCCGCTATCAGGATTGAGTTGCCAATAATGCCCACCAGGAACACGGCACTGTAAAGGATAGGCAGGAAAGTAGACATATGTTGCAGGTGCTGGTACTGGCACTGGTCATCGTAGTAGTAGTCGTAGTTGAAGGTGACTGTAGTCATGGATGACAGCGGGGCAAGTTCTGTTTCTGGCCCAGCTGTCCTCATCCTCTCTCTGAGGGAGGCTCTGAGCTTCCCCTACCCTTCCAGGTCTTTAAAAATATTTTATCAGTGAGTGGGGAGGAGGGGGAGAGCCGGGAGGAGGAGAAAAGTGGTTTTGTGGGGAGGTAATATGTACGCTTTTAACCAACTGCATAGGCAACGAACAAGCAACGAGTATCTGATGAGTCAAAACCCTGCCTTCAGAATAAATGCATTGTGGCTTTTTTTAATATCAGGTTTAGTTTTACTGATTCTATCTCCCTTTTTGCATTTTCCAGCTTCAGGTTTTGCTTTTTTTTCAGGTGGAGGGAAGGTGGTTTTTGAGATTCTGAACTTTCTGGTTTGTAGGAAAGTATATTGCTAGTTTGAAGAAATTTGAGACTGTACCACCTTATAAGAAACCTGAGAACAGTGAATTCAGGTGTCCCAACTTTTATCTATGTTCAAAACATTTTGTATAAATTGCTTGTCAGGGCAAGTCAGACTTTCCTGAGGCTTGGAGGTTTTTACTTTACTTGACTCTTTATGATTGTTGCTTTCTGTTTGAAAGCGATGCTCATATGACTATATATAGGAAAAAACATTTAAAACTCCTATATCCATTGTGCCCTGTAGCTGGTTGTTCTTTGTCAGTCCCAGGTTCTTGGCTGCCCTGCCAGTGCCCCCCTCCTGCCCTGCAGCCCTGCCAATTCCCCTAGGCGTGGACTTTCCACACCCAACTTTAGGAATGTATCAGAAACTTCAAGAACAATATTCCAATGTGTTGTATATTGTCATTTGAAGCTTGACTTGATGCTCCCATCCCCCACACAGGCTTTCTCATCAGCCACAGACCTGGACTCCAGAGCAGTGGTTTGTTCCTTCTCCTTCTGGCTGCACAGCCTGCATGGCTCTTGAGCTGTTCTTATGAACAGCACTCACTTGTCTTAACGAGCTCTGATTTCCTTCATCTTTCATTTGTAGTATCAGTATTGCTCCAGCTGTGACTTACCTTACAGACAGCCCTTTCAGCGTTGCATAAATCAAACAGAAATTCTCATTTTTAAAACTACTCAATTCATTACAGCTTTGTCAGTGCATACTAATTTGAAACCTGCACTATTGGTCTTCATCATCCTTCCTCTCTTCTAAAAATAAATTCGTTTTCTCCTTCCTCTCCCTTCCACCAGCACATTCACAGACCAGGCAGGACTCCAGGATTCTCAAAGCTTTGAAGAAATCGCCTCTTGGTGCATACTCCATCCCTGGGCAGACAGATTGCAAATGTATGTGTCTCCACATGCAAAGAGCAACTCCAAATTGCATGCACAGCGACTCAGTCCCTCCAGAGCACTTTGGATGCACTCAGATTCACTCTCCCAGTGCTCAGGTTATGTGCTCCTGTGCAGCAGGTGCCTGGTAGACTTCCAGGCACCTGGAAAAGCAGAAGCTGCTGTAAAACGACTGGCTGCTGGATGGAAGAGAATTTAGGTGGGCACTGGCTCACGTGATGTGCTGATATCTAATAAGTACCCACTTATACACAACTGCCTTCCTAGCTGTAGGGCACTAGTGGACTCCAGCTGGCTATTTTTATGGAATGTGTAAGCGTTAAGTTAGTGAGTGTAATTCAGTGATCACAAACTCTGAAAAAGGCTCAAGATGTATAAAAACTGCCTGGCTAAGATTATTGATTTGTATGCCACAGAAGTAAGTGTGAACCTGTAAAGAATAACAGGCGAAAAATCATCTTCTGCTATATCAAAGTGGGTTGTAAGCATTCACCCTAAAAATCATTATATTCTCTTCTAAGCAAGAGGCAGTGACTCTGTTCAGAGTAAAAAAACTCCACAGATTTGTAAAAGGTCTTGTTGTTATTCTAGAAGTAATTTCCTGCACCCGATTGCCCAAAACACAGTTCTTATTTTCAATGAAATGTAAAAGTCTCTTCTGTGGTGATTACAGCGAGTAGGTACTGCTGCTGCAAGTCTTTTTCTTTATGAGAGACTTGTCAGTGGTCAGTTGCAGTACTGATTTGTGTACCAGTTTATTTCTTCCCTGGCAAAGCTGAGAGAAGGAAGCACAGAACCAAACTCCTAAAAGTCTTAAAATCAGGTTGCATTGAGGACATTGCAATTTGCATGCAAGCGACATCAAGTGTAAACCTGCAAGAAAACAAAGGCTAAAAATCATCCTCTCACCATCTGAAAAGTACAAAGAATACATTGAGTTTTCAGCAAAGACTTGTGTAAAAGTGCCCAAGTAGCTTACACTTTACAAAAACAATAGTTGATGAATTCAGTGCAGAGGTGAATTTTATGTGATCTTTGCTTATTGCTGCTTCAAGGAATGTGTTTTAGTTCTGTTTTGTTTTGGTTTTTTGGCTTTTTCCAAGAGGCACTGGGAAATAGAGGCATTCTCTTTCCATTAGTACTAGGGCAGGAGACCAGCTGGACCCTACAGTCAATTCTACACTTGTTCTGCCTGCCTTTCTTGCAAAGGTGGATCTACGTATTATTTTACTCTGCAGTTAGAATATAACAGCTTACAAGCAGTTACAAGCTTTAGAATTCAGACACAAACTTCTCTTCCCTCCATTGCACACTACATCATACTCCGTAAAATTCACTCCTTTCCTCTCTATCTCAGAGCAAGCAAAAAAGTGAGTAACTTAAAAAAGCTTAAAGGCATCATAAAAATACATTTATGTCTGTGTATTCCTGTGTTTGTGGTTCCTCACTATGTTGTCTCCCTTTAGATTAATAGCCTTACCCACTAAAATAAAAAAAATTAAATAGTAAGCCTTTTCCAACAGGGACCAACTCTTCTCTACTGAATTTGCTGTGTATTTCTGGAATGCTCTAACCAGACACAGGGATGTCACTGCATGTTGCCATATTGCACATGTGACACTTCCTTATCTGGGCAGAAGAGTTGTGGAGATAATCTAAAGCATTCTTAGGAATGATAAAGTGATCTATAATTATCTGAGTGGAGCAGCAGCAGGCATGTTTGTCAGTAGTCTGGGGTGTTTTTATGTGATAGTGATTCACTTAGGGCATCATGTAGGGTCTTACTCTTCCCGCATCTCTTTTTCCTGAGATGGAGCCAAGCTCTCAAAAATGCTGAGTACGTGGAAATTCCTCCCCTAACACTCCTGCAGAGATACTCCAGAAAGCTCAGGAGGACAGACTCCATCCTCTCCTCATCCTACTCCTGCATTTCCACAGCATTTTCCTCCTCCCAGGCTTCACCAGGTACATGTAAACCCTTTCCCCTCCAAAAATTTCTCTGCTGAAGCAACCAGCTACTGGTTTGGCTCAGGTGTATGTTCTTCAGTCTGGGATACCCATCTTGTCCAGCCCTTGATGCAGCTCTGAAAAAAAATAAAGCTTCTGGGTTCTGAGTAGTTTTCCAGCTGAAAACCAACTTAACTTTTGTAACCAGACAATCAGAGCAGGTACTGTGATGGTGGCCCTGCATTTGGCCAGATCTGCCTTAGATTTATGTTCCTCTGGCAGTTCTGCCTCTCTCAAATGCACCTGTGAGATATGCCAGGTCGGAGATTGCATCATTCCTCAAATCTTCCTGATAGGCATGTGGAGGTGTTTCCAACAGCAGCAAGGGAAAAGCTTTCACGTTTTTGTTCGTGGTTCTGCACTGCCTGTATCGTGGTAGGCAGTCACATAATTTGTGGGGAAAATATCTGCACAGAAAGTAGGCACTGTTGCTGATTTTCTTTATTACACACACCACCTCCCCCTTACAAATTTCTGCAGTTGAATCATTTCAGGTAGCAAGGTGTGGGTTTGGTTTTTTGGGTTGTTTATTTTTTTCTTTTGTTCCTTTTTGTTGTTGTTTTACACCCTCTGTTTTACTGATAGTTTAAATGTCATTTTATTCCAGCTCGTACATGCACTTTTATATAAGCACAGTCATCTAGATAAAATAAGCTGCATATCTGTAAATTATTAATAGTGATAAATGCTGAGAAGGACAGAGGTTCATTTGGCTGCAAAATAAAGTGTAGTTGTTTCTGAGTGATTTTACTTTAAAAACCACATAAGAAACAGACTTAATTAAAAAAAGCAAAAATCAAAAAACCTACACTAAATTGGCTGAAACTGTCCTATTATGCTATGGCTAGTTAAAGGCATGCTCAGAGGCAACCTCATGCAGGCTAACCAATGGAAGTTTCATCTCTCAACAAGGAAAGGGTGGAACCTGTTCAGGTAAAATTGTGGCCACTGAGGCAATGCATCAGGATAGACAGAAATAGTTCCTGCTGAGAGCAGCAGTCTACAAAATGCAGTGCAGGAAGAAAATATTTTTGTACACTTACTTTTTAAATGTTAATTATTGTTTCTTGCCACTTATCCTTTTTTCATTTCTATTTTTGTGGATGTTTTATAATGTACATTATATATTGGTGTGGTCGTACATGTGTATACTTAAAAAATATTTACATTACTAGGAGTGCCTGATCAAAAAGTTTTTACTGACAAGGCACATGATAAAAAGGTTTGGAGACCACTGAAATAGAGGATGAGTATCATTATAATGTCCCAGTGCTATTCATGGTATTTAGGAGAAGCACATCTAGAACGTTTTCTGTCTGTGAAAATTATACTACTGTGTCCTGTGCCACAAAAATATTAAAGAAAAATAAAGAAGGCAGAAATAAAACCAGGCAAACTGCACAGAGAGGGGAATCAGAGGATTTTCTACTCACTCAGGCTGTGTAAAATGCTCATAGATGGTACCTATAACTAAAACTGCCCTTTTCATTATTGTAAAGAGAATATTTCTTGTGGGAGGTGGCATCTTGTAAATTAACTAGTAGTTTTGGAAAAAAACAGGCAGACTTTTGAATACCTTTTCAGTCTGAATCAATAACTCCTGATGTGAACATGATATATGAAGGTTTTGTTATTTTTTCATTCTATATCAGCTTCATTTAATACAGACGGTGCCACCTCCTACAAATGTTTACTTCCTTAGATTGTGAGAACTAAAATTACAGACAT